TTGTGGTGAGAGCTCATGCCCTGGCGGCTCTGCAGGCTTACTCTCACTGGCTGGCGCAGTACTGCAGTGAAGCGCCCTGGCGGAACACACAGCAGTTTGTGACATTACACCTCTCATCAGCACCAAGGTCCAAAACAAGTTGCTGCTATCTGCATGCCACTTACTGGTCTCCCTGGCCACCACTGTGCGGCCTGTCTTTTTGATCAGCATCCCTGCAGTGCAGAAAATTTTCAACAGAATCACCGATGCCTCTGCTCAGCGACTTGTTGATAAGGCTCAGGTGTTGGTGTGCCGAGCCCTCTCTAACATCTTGCTGCTTCCATGGCCAAACCTTCCTGAGAATGAGCAGCAGTGGCCTGTGCGCGAGTCTATTCAGGCTTTCTATGTCCTCCTGAGTCAATCCTGGTAGATTATATGTGTCTAGGTATTTTTCCATCTCACTCAGGTTTTCTTGTTTGTTGGCATATGGTAGCTCATATTATCCTCTAATAATGTTTTGTATTTATTTTATGTCTGTTGTAATGTTTCTTGAATTCATTGTAAATGAGATATATCTGGTTCCTTTTTCTCTTCTTCTTAATTAGTCTAGCTAATGGTATGTCAATCTTGTTCATCTTTTCAAAGAACCAGCTTTTGCTCTCATTTATTTTCTGTATAGTTCACTTATTTTGTTTCATTTATTTCTGTTTGAATCTTTATTATTTCCTTTCTCCTGGCATTTTTTGTATTTTTCTGCTGTTGTTTTTCTAATTCCTGAGGCATGATATCAGATTATCCTTTTGCCACCTTTTCATCTTTTCTTGTGTGCACTAATTTCTATGAATTTTCCTCTTATGACTGCTTTTGCAGTGTCCCATAAATTATGGAAACTTATGTACTCTGAATCATTTGTTTCCATGAATCTTTTGATTTTAGTCTTAATCTCTTCAGTAGTCACGAAGTCATTCAGAAATAGGTTATTTAGTTTCCATGTATTTGTGTATTTTTGAGGGTTTTTCCTGAGTTTAATATCAAATTTAATTCCATCATGGTTGGAGAAGATGCTGGGTATAGTTTCTATGCCTTTGAATCTGTAAAGGCTTATTTTGTGCCCTATCATGTGTATAGTCTTTGAGAAAGTACCATGTGGGGCTGAGAAAAATGTTTATGTATTTTTTTTTGGTGGAAAGTTCTATAGATGACTATCAAAGTCCATCTGATTTATGGTATCATTTAGGTCCAGAATTGCTTTGCTTATTTTTTGTCTCACTGACCTATCTAAAGGAGATAATGGGGTTCTGAGTTCTCCAACAATTATTGTGTTACAGTCTATCTCTCCTTTTAGATCTAGCAGTCTTTACATATTTGGGTGCTCCTGAGTTGGGTACATAGATATTTATAAGTGTTATATCTTCTTTATGAATTAGTCCTTTTACTACTATATAATGCCCTTCTTTATCTCTTCTTATGGTTTTTGTTTTAAAGCCTATTTTTTCCAAAGTCAGTATAGTGACTTCCTGCTCTTTTTGATTTCTGTTTGCATGGAATACCTTTGTTCAGCACTTCACTTTTAGTCTATATATGTCTTTGTCCATGAGATCGGTTTCTTGTAGGCAGCAGATGGAGCGTTTCTGATTTTTCATCCATTTAGCCAATCTGTGTCTCTTGATCAGAGAATTTAATCTATTAACATTCAACATTATTATCAATATTTCCAGACTCGTCCTTACCATTCAGTTGGCCATATACTCAGTTGCTTTTTGTTCTCTTATTATTGTCTGTCTGTCTTTACTTTTCTTGGTATAGTACTCTTTTCAGAATTTCTTGAAGAGCTGGTGTGGAGTTGGTAAATTCTTTCAGATTTTGTTTATCTGAGAATGTTTTTATCTTCTTTTCCCATATGAAGGATAATCTTGCTGGGTACAATATTCTTGGTTGAAATTGTTTCTCATTTAACACTTTCAATATATTTCCCCATTCTTTCCTTGCTTGCATTGTATCTGAAGAGAGGTCTGGTATTCCCCTGATGGGATAGCCTTTGTAGGTGATTTGACGTTTCTCTCTTGCCAATCTTGGCATCTCGTCTTTGTCTGTGGTATTGGCTAATCTAGCTATCATGTGCCATGGAGAGGATCTCCTTGGATTGATTCTACTTGTAGTTCTTTGTATGTCTTGAGTCTGGCTATTTGAGTGCCTCTCTAGACTTGGAAAGTTTATTTCCAGAATTTCATGGAATAGATTATCAATGCCCTTTTTAGATTGTTCACTTTCTGGGATACCAGTTATTTGGATGTTTGGGTGTTTATGGTATCTAGTATTTCTTGTATAGTATCCTCAGTTTTCTTAGCTATTTTCTCAGTATTTTTCATCTTTTTATTTTTTTTTGTCATTCATTTTGTCTTCTACTTCTGAGATTCTATCTTCTGCATGGTCTAACCTACTTTTAATACTTTTGAGGAATGTTTTGATTTCCCATATTACAGCCTTCATATCTAGCAGTTCCATTTGATTCTTTTTTTATGGTGTCCAGTTCTTCTTTCATATCATGGAAGAACTTCCTCATCTCTTGGAGCTCAATGTCTCTTTTCTCTTGCATCTCATAGAGTTTCAGTAATATAAATGTTCTAAATTATTTTTCTGACATTTGGTAATATCCTCTAATTTCTCCCTACTTGGAGACGAGTTACAGCGTTCCCTTGTGAGTGATGTATTATTTGATTCTCTAGTCGTTGAGGCTGTTGGCCAAGTTTTAGTCATTTGTAATATATTCACTTTTGGCTAATTTTTTGAAATATCCTATAAGTGTGAGCTCATGTGTTTCTCTTACTGTGAAATAATTTGGAGTTATTTTCTCCCTTCTACTGTGTCCTCCAATGTGGAATTCACAGGAGGAGTGTTGAAATCAGATTTATGAAGGAGAGTTTCCTTCTTTTTACAACCAGTACAGTGAAGGGCAAAGAATTCTGTAAAATTCACAATATTCAGATGTTTAGGTGCTATTCACCTAGTAATCCTAGGCAGTGAGTGAGAGCTTAATAAAAAATAGGAAAGTAAGTAAAAAGAAAAAGAGTAGGAAACAGCAATAGGAAGAAAAAGTGACAAAATCTGAAGAAAAAGAAAGCAGAGAGAGGAATAAAAGGGAAGGAATAGGAATAAAAAGAAGGAAAGAACTAGAATGAAAGGAAATATTTGCTTCTTATTTGTGGTCTACATTTTTTTTCCTCACAGCAGTGTTATCCAAAAATCAGTTATCAATTTTTGTGAAATCTAAATTAATAGAATTTTTTAGAGCAATTGGCTTTTACTGTTATGTCAAAGAAATGTTTACTACAGTACTCTACAACTCATTCCATTTATCCACTTGTACCCTTAGGTCTACTAACCACATGTTCTATGTTCTGCAGCATCTCACTCACCTTTTCCTCTTCTTTTTACATTTTTTCCTTTTCTCTGTCTTCTAGCATCTCACTCACCTTTTCCTCTTCTTTTTAAATTTTTTTCCTTTTCTCTGTCTTTTTTTTTACATTCAGTCATTGAACATCTTTACAGCATATAAAATAAATTTCTGATACCCATTGTTACATTCTCCACTTCTATGAAGTCACAGCTTCCTCTAATGAGTGGGAACATACAGTATTTGTCTTTTAATGCCTGGATTATTTCACATAGAATTATTTCTTCCAGGTTTGTGATTCAAACTTAGAAATGTGGATTTTGAAAGTGCATAATACAAACTAATGATAGGTGTTTGAAATGATGAATAAATTCAGTGCCTTTATTTATAACATATATATAAATGTTTTGAAAAATTACACATTTTTACATAAGTAGGTACAATTATTATATTAAGTTTATAATTATAAAAAATTTCTGCATCATTCAGTCATATGTATTTACTGCTGTATTTTATTAGTCTTATATTTTTAGGTTTTACATTTTTATAAGTTTGAGTCAATTTTTGTTCTGAGGTATAAATAAAAGTATGTTTAATTTTAGGGACCAGCAGTTAGTGTAATGGCTATGTTGCTGAACTCCCATGTAACCAACCACGGCTCGAGGCCCAGACCCCGTGGGTTAAACACATGCCGGATATGTGTGCCCAAGACCTGGAGAGGAGAATGGAGGAGAAAGGATTGCGGTGTGGCTGTTCCCCCTGGGGGGTGATCTCTCACTTTCTCTCTCTCTACCTCTCTCTGTCTTTCTGGCGAGCGCACGCGCCATATAGCAAAAACCTCTCAAAAAAAAAAAGTATGTTTAATTTTATTGCTAGCGGGTATATGTGCTCATGAGAGAGATACAGAGATTTATAGAGACACAAGATTTCTCCGATCCCCCACCATGAGGCATGGTCATGCAGCAATCTTTCCCTGCCTATTTATTGTATTGGGATTTTAGGTACACACCCATATGAGCCTGGCATGTTTTTCATCCTTCTGGGACCTGTACTGCAACTGTTGTTAATCATGTAGGATCTGACTCCCACTGCACAACTTAATCTTTGTGTTACATGCTGGCTCATCAGGTTAGTTTTTCCACATATGGATTAGCAATTATTTCTGGTAATTTGTTTTTCAGGTTTTTACCTTTTTATTTTTTATTTTTTCCAAATCAGTGCCTATCCTTTAGTACATCTTTAAAACATCACATATAGAACTTACAGATCAAATCATCAGACATTTTGCTTCTGTAGCTAGAAACCTCTTTGCTCTTATTCATCATCTGGTGAACTATTTTCAGAGACATATACTACCCCCATTTTTTTTTTAAATATTCTTAACTGTTGAGGGTTCCCAAATCAAAGAAGCTGAATTTGAAAGAAAATTAATGTTGTTTCCTTCAAGGATCAACTCATTTTTCTGAGTGTGAGATCCTGAACTACCTACACCTAGTAACATCTTTACCCTGGAGATATCTTTTTCACCCAAGATATTTTCATTTTCAACGAGAGATCCATTCTCCTTATTAATGATACTTATGGTAAAATGAGCATACACATACCTCATCTTTTTTATTTTTTTGAGAGTGTTTTTTTTCTATAGGGCACGTGCGCTTGCCAGACAGAGAGAGAGACACAGAAAGCAAGAAATCACCCCCCAGAGGGGATGGCCATGCCGCAATCCCTTCTCCTCCATTCTCCTCTCGGGATCTTGGGCACGCACGCACACACGCCTGGCATGGGTTTTAAGCCACCGGATCCGTGTTAAGCCACCGGATCCAGGACACAACCCGTGGTCGACTAAGTGGGAGTCCAGTAACATAGCCATTACGCTAACTACTGGTTCCCAAAATACCTCATCTTGTAATGAAAACCAAGTACAACATGCTGGGTCATGTTCTGTAAATAACTACAGATATTGTGAGCTACAGCTGGTCTC